TTGTGTACATACAACGAGGGAAAAATGCAAATTTTGGGCTATATTCAGTTAAAAATTCTTATGAGTTTGCTAAATTGAGTGTTCAGCAAATATCTTTAGAAGAAGACGGGCCAATTAGTTTTGATGTGTCTATGTACACAAACATTTCTGTTCAAGGAGCTATTCAAGGTCTGGTAGAAACTCTGGAGGAGCATCCAGAGATAAGACGAGAAATAAGGTTGAGCGTAGCATCTAAAATTAGACTTCTTAACTTATCCATAAGTAGCACCTATATTACCTTTGATGCTAAGTTGTATGAACAATGACAAGGAATTGTGATAGGATCTTGCCTAGCTCCCATTCTGTATGATAAGACTTGAGGAACACCCCTTGGAAAAGGCAATACTAACCCCCGAATTGTGGGTTGGATATAAGGATAAGTACTTTGTCATCTGGCCTCACAGTAGGGAAAGTTTACATCGTTTTTTACATTCACTTAACCAACGCTAGAGGAACATAGGATTCACAATGGAAATGGAAGGGAATAGGTCCTTAGCCTGTCTGGATTTTCTTCTAGTTAAAGAAGAGGGTAGGTCATGAAGAGATGTTTATAGGAGGCCGACATATGTTGGCTCTGATTAATTTCTCTTCAAAGCATAGTTACAAAACTTAAGTTGGAATATGAGACTAGCGGATAGCAAACAGTTGACTAAATTTCTGTAGCAAAAGTGGGTTTCGAAGAATCCCTTGATCTATTAATGTTGGAGTACCTTTCATTTGGTTTGAAGAGGCGGGTGGAAGGGATTCGCAACTTGGTTTCACCGAAGGCTGTGTGGCAGGGTGCGTCGCCTTGGAGCTGTGGTTGGTGATTTGTGCGAACAGGTCCTCGGCGCACCACCCTGCGACCCCGATGGATCCTTGCTGAGCTTTCATCCATCGTGTCACGGACATCGTCAGAGCAGGACACCAGGCCTGACGATAATTCACCAAAAACACGGAGGCAACAAACCTACTTCGGTCAGTTGGGCATCTCATGTTTTGGTTGAATGTCCTGGGCTTTGCTGCTATACTTGCTCATAAGTC